CTGGATGAAAAAGAGAATGTACAACAGCTATAATTGTGAAAAGTCAAAACATTCTTAGCATAGGCCACAATATTCACAGGACTATTAACATTTACAAAATAATGTTGAATTACGAGAAACATATAGACTAAATCTATGACACTGCATGTAAAGTGCTGACAACTGATAACAGTCTTACATTTTTTTTTTTTTTTTTTGGTACCACAACACACTACAATACAGTTATGAACTAGGGGGCAGATTCTGCACCTGTGAAGTCAGTGGGAGCTTTGGTACTGATTTCAATGGGAACAGGAGTGAGCCATATATTTTCCTGCTCTGTTTATTATTGTACTAAACTCACCTGAAACAACTAGCATCAGTTACAGCATCTGTATATTTCATAACATTTAAGCTGGAAATCTCTCTAATGTATTTACAGCTATAAAATCAGAGAATTTGTCTTTCAGCTTTGCCATTGACATTTATGACCACACCACCAACCAACATTTCAGCAAGTGACAGTTTGTGTATAAACCAGAAGTGTGTGAGAGTCTCATTACCTCATATGTTCTTTTACCTTGGACTCTATAAAAACAGTAAAATCTGACATTTCACACCAAAGTTTGTAACATTTGTCACAGGAGGCATCTTTCACAAATGTTTGCAAGCCTGGAATAAACTGGGATAATAGCCTAGATAGAAAAGCCAGTGTCACTGATGGGGGACAAGGTGGGTGAGGTAATATTTTTTATTGGACCAACTTCAGAGGCAAAATTTCCAGCTTACCCAGAGCTCTTCAGCTGTGTAGCTTGAAAGCTTGTCTCTCTCTCTCCAATAGAAGTTGGTCCATAATAAATATTACCTCACCCACCTTGTCTTTCTAATATCCTGGGACCAACACGGCCACAACTACACTGCTAACATCATTCATGACCTGAAAAATCAGCTGGCTTCTTATACTTGTAGGAACTTATAGCCCCAACTCCCAAATACTCTTTTTAAATATGTACATGTAAAAGGACACGCTCCTTGATATTTTTTAAACTGCCCTATAGTTAAAATACTTTTCTCCTAGCACTGTTGTTTCATATGGCACATGTAAGGAACACACACCTTTTTCCTGATGCTATAACCGTCAATTCAATGTCAAAATTCCCAGTGCCTTAATCAGGAGTAGAAGCAATCTCTCCCTCTCCCTTCACCACCTTTATATTTTTGTTTAGTTGATCAAATTTGTATGTAAAAAAAAAAAAAAAAAAAAAAAAAATCTGGTAATTCTAGTCAAAAGACTGAATAGCTAAACAGAACTAGAAAGGGACAATGTAATACAGAAAATGGAACTGGTTAATAATTATTTCAGCCACCAGACATTGGGCTGGACATATTGGCAGGGTAAGGTTATGTGATTGTGTTAAAAAAAATATCAAAAATGGGCCTAGGGAGAAATCCTGTTTTTGCCTTAGGATACTCATCATCATAACTACAGATGAAAAGCTGCATATGGCTCAATTTAACATACAAGTCCTATTTTTCTTACTTCCCATGGCTGCATGGAGAGAAAGAAAGTTTGTATTTAAAAAAAAAACAAGCAATTAAAACAGAGGTTGGCAAACTACTGCCCGCGGGCCACATCCGGCCTGCAGGACTGTCCTGCCTGGCCCTTGAGCTCCCGGCCAGGGGGGCTGGCCCCCGGCCCCTCCCCTACTGTTTCCTCTCCCCCGCAGATATGCTGCCGCGCGAGCAGCGCTCTGGGCGGCAGAGTGGCGCGCTCCTGCGGAGCAGAGCAGCAGCGTGTCTAGCTCCGGCTGGGCAGCACGGCTGCCAGACATGCTGCTCTGAGCGGCATGGTAAGAGGGCTGGGGGGTTGGATAAGGGGCGGGGGGTCCCAGAGGGCAGTCAGGGGAGCAGGGGGAGGTTGGATGGGGCAGAGGTTAGGGTGGTGGTGGTGGTCAGGGGACAAGGAACAGGGGGGTTGCGTAAGTGTGGGAGTCCTGGGGGGCCTGTCAGGGGGCGGGGGTGTGGATAGGGGTCGGGGCAGTCAGGGGACTGGGAGCAAGGGGCTTGGATAGGGGGTGGGGTCCTGGGGGGCGGTTAGGGGACAAAGAGCAGGGGGGGTTGGATGGGTGAAGTTCTGAGGGGGGCAGGAAGTGGGAAGAGGCAGATAGGGGGCGGGGTCCAGGCTGTTTGTGGGAGGCACAGCCTTCCCATCCGGCCCTCCATACAGTTTTGCAACCCCAATGTGGCCCTTGGGCCAAAAAGTTTGCCCAGCCCTGAATTAAAACATCTGCATCCTGTACATGACACGACTAAAATTCACACACAACTCATTTTAGATGGACGTATATCTTGCCAGGTTAAAGGGCAACAGGAAAGAAAGACAAACAGAAAGGCAAAACCAGATCACTTTATGAAGAAGTCTTAATCTTTTTTAAAAAGCAAGATTTTTTTTAAAAAAAGTCCTTCCATTTCTCATCTTTGAAATTCTTTTCACTAGGTATTGTCACAAACTGCTCATGACCAGGAAAAAGATTGCTGAAAGTTGCCTTTCACTTTTTTAGGAATCTTCCTTTATTTTAACATCTTGCAACATCTCTGGTTGAAGCTCAAGCCAGAGATGTTAAAAGGCCTGATTCATAACTATATTGAACATGAATATTCTGCAACATACCAGATATTAGAAATGAACTTTGACAGTGGGTTTTGCATCTTTTTACATACGCTTAAGGTGTTCAATTTTTAGACTTCAGTTATGACGCAATGCATAACTATCTAGAAATGACAGCTTTTCCATCCAGGAGGAAAAATGTCCAGCAAATTAAAGATATACAAGAGAAGGAGATACTTTCTTAGAGACAGTCAGAAGCACATGGATGCATTTTTGTAAGTGTCATCTCAAAATATAATACATATAAACCCCAGTTTATTGTACTTTTGTCTGGTAGAACATTTACATTGTTTAGGGTTTATAGAGCATTGGAAGCCAGCCTTGTCAAAATAAAGATGTCAACAGTAAACCCCTGCCTTGGTAAATTGCAAATTCCCCTTCCCCACTTATAACCATTACAATTCAGTTAGTGTCAAGATGTTTATAAAGCAATTCAAGTCAAAATTCTCTACTTTAGCTGTCTAAATTATATGAAGGGCCAAATTTTCATAAGAGCTCAGCTCCCATGTAGGAACTTAAATGCAGGGTCAACTGAGAACAATAAGGAGCTGCTGAGGGTTGGGCACTTCTGAAAATCTGTCCCTAAATCTTCAATGTGAGCTGTGGGGACTCTGCACTTCTAAATAGATGACTCGATTTTTCAGGAGCTCAAGCAGAGATTTGGATCCTAGACCTGCAAAGATTTACTCATGTGCTTCTGAAAAATATTCAGGCATGCAAAGTTAAGCACAAGAGAGTGTCTTTTCAGGAGCAGGATTGAAAGGAACTAACCAGAGGCTGCCAAGTTTGAAAATTTTGGCCTAAACCTTTTAGCTACATATTAATGAATGGGCAGATATTATATTTAACTGAAGAATAACGTACAATATGGCAATTACTACACAGATTGTCCTTTTGCCAAGTATGGACTTTGAAATATAAAGATAAGAATGGAAGTTGTTATAACAAATCATATCAAAATGCAGAGTTAAAACCTAGTAGGCAGGGCTGGATTAATTAGAGGTCAATTAGGCATGTGCCTAGGGCCCATATTCATGGGGAGACCAAAAATCATAGGCCACAATCCTTCACCTGCTTCTCTTTGCCCTAACGAGGGGACACAGACCACTTGCAGAGCACCCTTTGCCCTGGCACGGCAACCCTAATCCTGGCCCAGTGTTGAGGGGAGGCACAGGGAGGAAGTTGGAAAGCAAGCCCACCGCGCAGTCACCCTGCAGCTTGGGGCTGGGCCTGGCTCCCCGCTCTTGTCACAGCGTCGGTCTAGTTTGGCCTAGGTGCCCCTGCAGCATAAAGGTGCTGCAACCCTGCATATCAGGTTGCAACATCACTCGCTCAAATCAGTGTACGGTGGGTTTGGAAGATACCTTGTTCTAACACTCGGAGAAGTCTGTACCAGCTCTTCCAGTTCTTACCCAATCCTGCAAAACCTTACTGCTGTGATCTCTTTACTGTACTTTGGAAGCAGAGAGGGAGGAACACTAAAAAATGTTCTGTTCATCGTGGTAATTTCTTTTTTAAAGTACCCTTTGTAATATTACTGTAAGCCAAGGCTTTCAGATTCTCTATATCAACACGTGCTTGCTTTGCTTAACTGAGAAAGTCGCGCTGCACAGCAGCACAATTTCCTTTGCACAAGTCTAGCAACACTGCCTCGCCCATACTAAGAAAAGGAGGAACACTTGATTTCAAATACAATCTGTTGCATAAAGTTTGCTAACCTTTGCTCTTGGTTGTTTGAACTGAGTGCTAGCACAGACAGTGAAAATGTGTCAACTAGCTATCCTGAACCAGTTTTGATTCTGCCTGCACTAATAAGAATGTGGATTTTAACAGACAAATCTTTCCACATACCTGGCTGAAAAATGCACAAAGCTAAACAGAGGTCCAAATTTGAGGTCTTTAATCAGTCCTCATTGGGCACAGTTCTTTTGAGGAAATATGCCTAGAAAGGCTTGAGTGAGAGCTGAGAAAGGACTTCAGAATTTGTCCGCTTTTAATAGTAAGGAATGCAAAAGTAAATATATACTGCTTCACAAGTATCTGACATTCTTGATTTTTCATACAGTGTTCAGTAAGAGGTAATACAAATTCTAAGGCTATGAAAAAATCTGCACAAATTATTCAATGCAAAATTATTTCAGAGTAAAGGATAGTTCCTTGAAAACAAAAATTAACTTCTTCTGCATATCTACTTACTTCCATAATTTTATTACTTTAATACATTTGTTCAATGAGCTTACTTAATTTGAAAATAATAATAATAATGGACGTTTTAACGGCCACCAAACTGATTTTTGAACTATTTAAAAATCATCCATAACCAATTACTTTTTAAAATCCAAACTGTTTTTACCTGGTACAGGCTGTCTCTCATTCCATTCACTTGTGATTAAAACTTCTAGGATTTTTACGAGGTGTTCAGCATTATCAGAACTGTAAAATGTAATGGAAAAAATGTAAAGGCTTACATAAATGCCTTTAGAAAAGTAATGCAAAGATAACAGCATGAGCATGATTCCTACACATGAATTTATTAACTATTTTGTATAACAAAGCCACATATCATGGTTACAATATACTAGATAATTAAGATGTCTCACATACCTTCCTAACTGGAATCTGAAAAGCAGAGGGCTGAAAATTTCAGCTAGGGATCTTGCATTCAAGAGATTTTTGCTGGAGGTTTGACAAAGTCTGAAGAAATGTCTAAGCAAATATTGGAGAGTGAGCCAATACTGGTGAGGTATATTTGGAGACCTGATGAGTTTCTTCAGCAACTGAGCATATTCGTCCGAGCTCTGAACTTCTGCAAGCAAATAGAAAGTAAAATGAAACCATTAAATGGTTCCCTGGTAAGTATCAATTTTACAGAAAAAATATTCTGTCCTTCAATAGAACCCAGATTCTTGTTTCTTCTTTTTCAAAAGTGAAAAACTCAAGTGACAGAAGAAAACAACTGAATAAATGTAAAATGGAAACAGAACATTCGTTTGGTAAAAACCACAATATGTGCAGTGCGTACTGGTAGAAGTCTGTCTTGTGTTTAGCGTCACACATGATTGGGTAATTCTGAGATGCAGTAGATAAGAATCACAGGTGCTTTTCTAACTTTGAAGGTTACCAACCACAATGTCCTGCCTGTAGAACATGCAACAGTACTAGGCCCACATACTGAAAGTTGTCAACTGTACTGTCTGAAATGACCACTGCCAAAGATATACCTTACATTCATGTATTTATTACTTTGTATTCCATAACTGCCAATGGACCTCAGAACACTATGTTCTCTAATACATTTACTTTGTCAGCACTGATAAAAGGTTAACGATTAGCTCTTTCTGCACACAGATAAGTCCTTGATTTTTTTTAACCAGTACATGCACAGTTATTTGTACTTACTAAATGCATCAAGCGGTGTAATATCTTACAATATTCATTTATATTTATATTGTCAGGTAATTTCAGCAGCTTTTATCAAAACCAGCTAATATATAATAAGTGAGGAAAAGACTTATTTTTGTTTTATGAGCACCACCTGTTGTGGTGTGCAAAAATCTTCCCGCACATTTTATGTACGCTGAGACAGTATCAGCCCCTTCATGCTGGGTATTGACAATCCTAATAAACCTTCCTCCCCCTCCCCCTGTGAGTGGAAATACTTTCACATTCATACCTTGAGCTCCTGAAATCATATCACTGTAAACAGATGCTGGAATGACAGAATTTGGCAGGTCCAGGAGATACCTCTTGAGAGCATCTGATAAGATCTGCACATCAATTGGCTCAAAATCCATTGATGAGACATCTGAAAAAAAACCCCAGACATATGCAATTTAAAAATTTCTGAGGACCTTAAAATTGTCATTTCATACCAAACCAGAACAGATAACCCAAATCTGATATATGAAGAACAATTTGTAAGAAATCTCTGAAGACATCTAAACAAGTCTTTGCTAAAATGTATTATTTACAATGTGCAGTGAATTCCCACAGTAGATACCAAAATTGTTCAGCAATACACTGTAAAGTTAAGGGGTCAAAGCCTTCTTCAATCATTAAGAGATTCTGACTAATAAATGATAAGATGTAAATTATGCATGGGAGTCAATATCCAATCCAGGAAAATATTTATGTGAAAATGTTATAAGTAACACAAATTCTATTACCCAAGAAATGGCTTTATAACATGCTTGAAAACTGTCTCATGTCCCTTCTAGTGGCTAATCTACATAGAGATTAACAGTATACTATAGCTGTCACTAGATAAAATTACTACTATAGTTAAAGTAGTGGAGGTTTATATATTGGTGACGAAGGTCCTGGGTTCAAACTCTGTAGATGGCCCACAGTGAAGGTTGTTATACCTTCACTGATATTATTTTTGAAGTGACCAATGTTTAAAAACACCTTGCTTTCTTTATATACCAACCTTGTAAATTATATAAGGAAGACCCTGGATTCTGCATACTTTTCAAATGTTACTATAAAGTTACAAATTATGCTTGTGGCAATATTTGTAATATTTTTATAGGGCTGCAAGGTTACGAGACACCTGGATATTTTTAACAGGTTTATGTTTTACTTGTAAATATTTTGTGTAAACACTACTATAGTAAGGAGCAATCCATACTTAGGGCTGGGTGCAAATGCAGTATTTCTATTGATAGCTGATTAGCGATTCAGGCCCTGAACCTGGAAACATTTATGTGAATAAACTGAAGCACATGTAAATATATTTGCAGAATTGGGTCCTTGATTTCTTAAATAGCAGTTAGAATTTACACACTTGTAATGACCCCTGGCCTGCTAGTGTAATTACGACTTGGGATAGAATATTCTATTGAACTTTATCACTTATAGGATTGTCTGTTAACACTGGTGTAGTGAACGCAAGAAGTGAAAATAAAAAACAAAATTTTAGAAGTGTTTATTACAAGCCAGACAGGTTTCCCGTCAGACATGAAGCTCTCACAAAAGTTCCCAAATCCAGGAAGTTCCAAAGGGCCCAATAATTTGGGGTGGGGAATAGGGGAAGGAAGGAAGGAAAATAATTCTTTAAAAAGCCCAGTCTATCGGAGCAAGAACTCAAACTACATTAGTCACTGTGGCTTTTATTCTCTATGCTGGATCAAGTCTAGGTTCCATTGGTCCAGTGTCTGTAAGAAACATCTCAAATTACTGGAACGAGAGCTTTAGTGAGAGCTGGACCTATTTGATGTACAGCAAGCTATTTGTTGCTGCTGTTGTTGTGACCTTTCTATTTTTGATCACCTTTACTGGCTTGATCCTGGAAGATTATGAGCTCTGCTCAACAGGAATGAAGGACAGTCAGTTCCTCAAAGGCTAAAGCCTTATTTTCCTGTTTTCCAACCAAATTAAATTTTGAAGAAGAATACAGGCAAACCCCAGTTTTACAGTGGTCTCAGGATACAGGTAGATCTTGCAGATGTGAGATTCTATATGGATTTTGAATAAATTAAGAAATTCAGATATTTGTGGTTTGGAAAGTCAGTGCTGAAAACAAAAATATTAAGAATAAAGCTTCTGTTGCTAACCCCACAATTCCATACCTTTCTCTACCATCATTCGAGATCATGATGCCAGCTAGATTTAAAACATAGTGAACTCAAAAATCATTTCCTTCTCAATTTTAATCTTTAATTACTTTTAATTACTAAAATTGAAAGAGTAGAGAAATTACTTCCTTTTTTAGAGTTTGCATATTTTGTGCCTTTGACAACACGGTGTGTAATCAGTTTCACTTCCAAGCCTCATGCAGTGGTATGATGCCCTTGTACCCTCATGCACTGCTCTGAAAGGGGAAGTTCATACAGCTTGCAGAAGCTTGGGTAACGCTACCGCCACAACAGTAGAGCTCCTGCTCTTCCACAGTTTGACGGGCTGTTGCTCTGGAACTATTTCTCATTTAGATGGTTAGGTTTTATTAAATTTTTAAGAATCACAATTTATCTGTGCTAAAGGAGACTGGAGGCAAGGGTGCTGGGACAATTAGTATAGTGGGGGTGTTGAGAGCCATTGAACCAAACTGTAAACCGTGTATATAATGGAAACCACTTCAAGCCAGGGGGTGCTGCTAAACCCCTAGTTCCACCTATGACTTGAGGCGAGAGGACAAGTACCCAGGTGGGTATCTCCCCACCCCACTAGGCTACTGCAGGGGCCAGAGAAGGGAGAAGCCAGATGAGTGTCCGAAACCCCAGGACTCTGGCACAGGGGAGGAGAAGAGAGCGATAGGAGTTGGGGAAGCATGTTATACTTGAAGGGGAAATGGAGGAATTCTACTGCCCCGATACCTAGATCCCTGCACAGAGTAGCATTGTCAGGTAGGTTCTCTTCCCTCACTCTCCAGCATCTTAAAATATCGATATCCCATCTCCTAGAACTGGAAGGGACCTTGAAAAGTCATTGAGTCCAACCCCCTGCCTTCACTAGCAGGACCAAGTACTGATTCTGCCCCAGATCCCTAAGTGGCCCCCTCACGGATTGAACTCACAACCCTGGGTTTAGCAGGCCAATGCTCAAACCACTGAGCTATCCCTCCCTCCCATCACCACAGAACCAGGCAGGGAACATGCAGCAGAGCCAGTAGGCTTCCCTCCAACTCCTTCTATTGGGCCAAAGGAAGCAGAAGGCTGAATGTATTAATGTATGCACAAAATTGTGTGCAGTTGTACATGCATAAATAAAATTTAGCCCACAGCATTATTGGGGCAGTGCATCTTTATCTTGCTTCTGAACGAGACTCCTCTCCTCTCCCAGAGCCCTGCTTTTTTTGTCCTCAACAGTTAAATTAGTAATCAACATTAAACTGATTATTCTTGGACAAAATACCAGTATAATGGGGACTTGGAGAAAAATATTTATTCCATGAAAGTGGAAAGGTTAATATTACGGCAAATGCAATGGAATAAAAACTAATATCAACTAAGCATCAAATTATATAGTTTGAATAGGGGGCATAGAAAAAAACCCGTTCAGTCTTAATACAAAAACTATTTTGTACTTTAAGAAGAACAGTTGTACCTACCACACTCAAAAATTTGGCTTAGTTCTGCAATACTGCTTGACCCTTGTGTTCTGTACAAAGTTGAACATTCCAGACCTTAAAAACACAATAGATTGGATACATGAACTTAATATCCCTTGTGGCTTTATATAGGAAACAACATATTTCTATTGTCCTCAAATAATCATTTACAGTATAAGTTAGTATCATTCTTATACATCATGACAAAATACTGTATGCTATTGATTTTATAGGGCAACAATATAGCACACAGGAAAATATACCATGCCTGCAAACTGCTGGGCCAGCAGAAGCTGCCAGCCAAGAAACAGTAGAAATACAGTCAACCCTCATTTCCCCCCCTCCCCCACTCAAACAAATCGCTGGGCGCTGGCTTTAGGAGACCAACACCAGCAGAAGGAGAAGTGTGTACTAGCCAAGGTAAAGGTTTGCCTGCAGTGGAGCAGAGTGCAGTTCAGTAGGAAACACCCAGCCCTTCCCTGCCACTCTACGCACCTTTCCAGCTAAGAAACAACTGGCCCTAAACCCTCTAGGAACTATTGCTCCCTTGTGCATGTCCTATTGCCCCATCTCTCCCAAGTGCCTTCATAAGGCAAGAAGAGATGGGATGCAGGGAGGAGACCAAGAAAATGAAGTGGAGTTGTCCTACCAAAAGCGGAGAGACACTCAGGGCCTGCCACCCCAGCAATACAACTTGAGCAGAGACAACAAACACGGTCTGCCTCAAGGGGAAAAGAACAGTTGAAAAACTGCTCGAGAATAAATAATTCCTTACACTGTGATAGTGTGTGTAACCCAAAGCTGAAGGGGCTATTTTTCCTTTTGGGAGGATACTTTACTGTTCTTACCCTAAAGCCAATCGGTATCTGGTTTTCTGCATATTTATTTTATTGACTTCAGACATACAGAGCGCACACAATACGTAAGCTGTCAGTACTGGGCGGTGTTGCTGCAGATATGTTAAACAGTTGCCCTGTATTAGCACCATTTCAGTGGTGGAGGGAGTGATCCCTAGGTATACTCTGTAAAGCGCAGACATCCTTCCAAATAAAAGCCACCATAATAAATGTACAATTTTTTGCTTTATATTTTTATATTAAAGAGCATGCCCAGGGATACAGGTCACGTATGATTTAATAACATTCAGTATGGTCTCCTAGAAACAGTGGCTGACTATGCTGGTTGCCATTAAACTCTGGCTCTCAGTACTGGCATCAGCAGCCCCTGATCCACCCATTAAACGTTTGTGTCTTCCCAACCCTCAAAGTGTTGACACTGGTAGTAACCAGGCCACAAATCCTGTCTTGCCCTCCCACTCCCAGCTAAATGTCCATTAGGAGAGCAGGGTACAGGGGGCATCTCCTGGCCACATAAGGTTGATGAAGGTGACATCAGCATCAGAAGCTGGGGAAAGAGACAAGGGGATTAGGAGGCAAGAGATGGATGGAGAATGGGTTATTTAAACAGGAGGGAAGAGAAGCAAAGGACTGAGAAGGCCAGCAGGGATAGGGAGGAATGGTATGGGGAGGAGGGGAACAGGACAGAGTGGGACAGCTGGGAGTATGGGAAGGGAGAAAAGTCAAAGGGCATACAACAAATACGGGTTGATGGAACAGACAGTAGCAATAAGGGACTGCCTCTTGGAGGGCAAAAAATACCTCCCAAAACTTAGCATTCTGAGATATTTTCCCCTCTATCTCATGGCAATGCGTTTCTGCAATTACTCTTGCTGCCAGTTGATATTTGTATTATATTATTCAAAACCTCAAAAATCTCTCTTTTTGGTCTGTAGCAGGTTACCAGGTGTCAGGTGGTATAAGCTATGTTATTACCTCTATAACCCAAGTAACCTCTGTTGAGCACATACCAACAAGATAAGGCTCTGACTAGATTTGCTTGAATACCAATTGAGCAATGCGATACATTACAAACCCTTGGTAGGAAATGTACAAACTCTGGGCCTGATCCTGCAGTCCCCATTCACAAACATAACTAAAACACTGGCAGACTGTTCATCAGCATACCTTTCTTTTCAATAGCCTCCACTATCTTGATAAGAATTGGTGGCGCGACGTCAGGAGGCAAAAATTGCTCTGTAAGATCTGGAAGTGTAAAAGCTGTTAAAAAAAAAATCAGTTAAGCTACAATTAGATGCAATTTCAGTTTATGAAAGTCATGAGATATAATGCAACTGGTTAATTTTTAAACACTGAACAAATTCATTTTATCAGCTGTGAAAGTCCATGTAGACATTTTGCTCGTCTGTTCTGCATGCAAATTAGAACACTACATAATTACTTACCAGTAATTTAAAAAAACCAACCCTCACATGCTAAATATCACTGCTATATTTAAACTAAAGATAAACATGCCAGTACATAATTAGCAAAATCCTAGTAACTGTTCCGATTTATCTTATTTCTTTTCTTTTTTAATCAAGCAAAGACGTCCAATTCATGACATTTTGTTCCTCCAATATTCCAACCCCTCACCTTTTGTATTTACACAAATCCATTCTCCAAGACTGAATAGTGATGATAAACAATAACAATAAGGAAAATGCATTTTTATGGCACCTTCATTCAGAGAATATCAAAAATGCTTTATAAATCACTAATAAATTTTCACTACTGCTGTGAGGAAGGTAAGTAAAATAAAGTAAAAAGTGCAGAATCCACACAGAAGCCATATAGAATCCATATAAAATTCTTAAAGGTGGATAAAAAAAAAACAGAACAGTTCTCCTATGGTGCACCAGATGAGGGAGCTATATACATATCTCCTTGGAACTGCTAATCTACTGAATGAAACACATTTCTATTGGTATGAACTCTCTGCAGGAACAACCAACATGTCATATTAATGCGAAAGCTCAATAACAGTTGCAGTTTGTTTTAATTTTTATAGGTTCACAATATTGACAATATATGCCCCGTGGTGCAGAGAGCGCCTCCTGTTTTGTACAATGATCAATAAAGAATAAAAATAAGATATTCTAAAATGAATCTTTTGCAAACTGAAACAAAGCTGCATATTGATTTTATCCAAAGTTAGTTCACACACAATGCAGTTTCTTTACTGAAAGAACAAACTGAATAAAAGAACGTTCTCGCTCTGTGATAAATGCAAAGTTTAAAAAGCAGTCGTGTTTAATTTTTGGAAAGCTAGGACGTTTACAGAAAGATATAATTATTAAACAGCTGCCAGCAACATCTGACATGATTGACAGATTATGATGGATAAAGATGAATTAATCAGTGGATTGGAAATTGGTGGTTGCCTAGGGACCAGTGATCATGACATGATTACATTCAATATGGGCAAACAGAGGACAGTCCCAAGCGGTAATATACATACCTTATGATTTAAAAGGGCTAATTTCACAATGCTGAAAAATATTATGAACAAAATTTATTGGGAAGAAAAATTTAGACAGAAAAATGTGAATGAAAATGGAGAATTCTTTCAGAAGAGTTTATTAGATGGCTAAAAAGCCATGATTCCACAATCTACGGAAAGGACTATTTTGGCTAAAAGTCCATCCTGGTTCAGTTGTGAAGTGAAGACAGAAATTAGAAATAAATGAGTAATATATATCAAATGGAAAAAACAGGGAAAACAGATACCAATTGATAGAATTTAGACTTTATGAAGTGTAGAATATTGATAAGAGAAGCACACATTAAATGGATTAAGAACTGGCTGACAGATCTCAAAAAATAGAAGGGTGGTGGAACAATTTGTACCGTGGGGGTGCTGAGAGCCACTGAACCAAACTGTAAACCTTGTACATAATGGAAGCCACTTCAAGCCAGGGGGTGCGGTAGCACCCTTCACACTCCTAGTTCTAGCACCTATGAAAAGTAGTTTTCAATGGGAAATCATCATCAAACGGGGGTGTTTCTAGTGGAGTTCCACAGGGAACAGCACCAGGCCTGACACTATTCAACACTTTCATCAGTGACCTGGAAGTAAATATAAAATCACTGTTGACAAAAATTTGCAGCTAACACATAGACTGGCCGAGGGGTAAATAATAACAAGGATAAAGCAGCCAAACAGAGTGATCTGGTTCACTTGGTAAGCTGGGCCCATTCAAGCAAAATGCATTTTAATGTAGCCAAATGCAAAGTTTTATATCTAGCAACAAAGAATGCAGATCATATTTACAGAATGGGGGACTGGATCCTTGAAAGCAGTGACTCGGAAAAAGATGTAGGGCTCATAGTGGACAAGCAACTGAACATGAGCTCCCATTGTGATGCTGTGGCATAAATGGTCAACACAGTCCTTGGACATACAAACAGGGGAGTAGTGAGTAGAAGGGAGGTGATTTACCTCTGTATACAGCATTGGTTAGACCAATACTGGAATACTGCATACAGTTCTAGTCCACATTTTAAAAAGGATGTTGAAAAATTGGAAAGAGTGCAAAAAAGAGCCCCAAGAATTATTTGAAGGCTGGAGAAAATGACTTATAGTGAGACTTAAAGAGCTTCCTCTGTTTAGCTTATCAAAAAGAAGATTGAGAGGTGGCTTGATTGCAGTGTGTAAGTACCTTCACGGGGAGAAAATACCAGGTACTAAAATGCTGTTTGATGTAGTGGAAAAAGGCATATGACGAACCAAATTAGAAACTAGGCACAACTTTTAACAGTGAGGGTAGTTAATCACTGGAACAAACTACCAAAGGAAGTGGCGGATTCTCCATTTCTTGATGTCTTCAAATAAAGGCTTTACATCTTTTTGGAAGATATGATTTAGCCAGACAACTAACTGGGCTCAGTGCAGGAGTAAGTGGGTGAAATGTAATGGTCTCTATATAGCAGAGGTCAGACTAGATGATCTAATGGTCACTTCTGGCCTTAGAATTTATGAATCTGCTATAATAAATGTACATTTATTCAAAGAATATGACAGTGTCAAATCAAAGGCTCTGCCAAGAAAATCCTCAAATTACAAAATACCAATTGCAAGATAAAATCTAACACTACTACTACTACTATTAATAAGTCTCATTCTGATGTTTGGAAAGTCAAAGGCATAAAATCCCTCCCAATATCAAGGTGAGAATATGTTTTAAAAATAGAGATTACATTTTTTCCATGATGAAAATAACCTTTTGCTCCCTTAGGCAGTTAGTTGCATTAATTACTACTCTCCCACCTCCCTTCTGCCAAGTCATGAAATGGCATGAGCTCGGAGCAGAGATGCTCACCTCATTCTTCTAACTGAAGGCAAGATGCAGAGCTATTACACAAAACTGAAAGGAAGGGGAGAGGAAAAAGTGGATGGTAGGGGTAAATGACATCCAGGATGAAAGGCTTGAGGAGAGAGCAGGGCAGGGAGGGCCCAGTTACAGATCTTAACCCACAATATACTCTTTGGTTCATACAACAGAAGGAATTAGAGTGCAACACTACGTCAAATTAAGCGAGCAGTGCCTAGAGACTATGATAATAGGCACATTACAAATGCCTATTTAGAAAAATTAAGTTGTCTTTAGGAAAAGGAACACCCTTTCAACTAATTTCTAACTTGATTTTTGTTTCTGAAAGTTAAAGGTGTAGTCTAGGCAGACCAAAAATGAAAACCTATGCATCTGGTGTCCCCTGAAGGCTTCATGTCATGGGAGGAAGTCACTGGGAAGGCAGAGAACTCTCTCAGAAAACATGTTTTCTTTTCAAAAGGGCAAAGATGGAGGGACACAGACTCCAACTTACTCCAAAACTGAAAGCTTCTCCATACCCTATCTCACTTCCTTTGCTTTTCATTTACATTTTAAGCAGGTGACTTATGGCAACATATGTAAGCATCCATGAGTTGAGAGGAAAATGTAAACAGAGTCCTCTGTCATGTTATTCTTCTGGAAACAGAAGCAGACATTAGGTCTACTACCCATTTCCAAAAATACCCTGAAATGCTAAAGACTCTATATCAATGATGTTAAAACCTGTCTGAGACACAAAACCATTCTCTTCCAAAACAAAAGAAACACTACCCCCTCGCCCCGTCTTTTGACCTTGAAATCTGCCCTGCTACAACAGAGCTGATTTTTCAATGGGACTTGTGCTCCCAATTCATTTAGACACTTTTGAAAATTCCACCCAAAATCTTGGGTTGGTCACCTAAATCCATCTTTAGGCACTTAAGTAGCTTAATTTTTTCCCCACAGATCTTAGCTATTGGTGGTATTCTCAATCAGGGGGAGGTGCTGGTGCTTAGCACCTCTGAAAATCAGGCCATGGATTTTCCAGTGCACATGTAAAAGTGCTGATGATGGCCTTTCAACACACACGCAGTATCTGAAGCACATGCCTAATTTACAAGCTATTTGACCTGTGCTCAAATCTTCTTTTGATATATCAGTATTGGATTATAAAGACTTCAATGAAAAGGAAACACCATACATATTTACATATATAATATACACATTTAGAGCAAACTTTAATCTTTTTTAAAATTAACGCCCCTCCCCCCATACTCTCTCAAAAGAAAATGTTTAAGGGGAAAAAAACATAATATAATAAAATATAGAGCGCTTGGAGGATTTTGGTTTCATTTTTTCCCCACAGCTACAGATAACTATTACATTGGAGAAACTGATAATTTTGCAAGTACTTAGAATACTTCTGAAACCACAATAATACTGTTTCATAACTGCATAAGTGATCAAATATTTTTGAATTCATGACTATTTGGGCTACAAATCCCCATTTCAATAATAATACACAACAGAAATGAGTTTATAACAAAAGGCTATAAATATAAAGGAAGTTTTTTAAAACGTTAAGTTGTCTTTTAATACGCTGATAAAAGGGAAATTCAACTGAACAACATAGATGCACAAATCATCAACTTTGACAAAATGTCACAATATAAAAGTTTAAGAGATACCATTTTTAAAAAAAATCAAATTTACTTTTTTAAACAATTCTACAATTTTCTATTCTCTGCTGCTACTTATGCTATTCAATGTATTTCCTTTATAAAATTCCCATAGCATTATATTGTCACTGGTAATTTAGTCTTTCTACGTTTGGCATAAGACAGAAAATTATAGTCATTTCAAGATGAAAGACCTCAGAAAACATATGTCTGCCAGAATAGAGACTTT